AAAATGTACATTGGCTTCTCAAAATCATTTTCAAAAATTTCAAGATGTGAAGTAATTATTCACGGAGAAAGAACTATAAATCCATTAGTAGATGCTCGTAAATTATCCGATTGCTTTCATCGATCGTTTTCGCAGATTTCACGAATCTGAATTAATTGAGACAACGAACAATACTAATTTTGCACAAACTGTTATCTTAGATATATTTCAATTAATTATTCTTTATTCGCTTTTAATTTAACGATTCGATTGTAATCCCTAGTATTTTAAGAATCGTTAAAATATTGGCCTTGACGAAGAAACCGGAAAGAATCTAAAATTTACACAAGTCAAGCATAAAAAAATCACTCAAAAAAGTTGAAGATCTCGAAAATGTAGGCGAAATACTCAAAATACCAATCAGGCCAGAAAGCTAAAAATATCAAAACGATTGACAAGATCAGAAGTATCGAACAAATTAGAGAGATCGGAAAAGTCCGACAGATTAAGAATAACAAGGAATCTAAAAACCAACAGAATTCAAAAGGTCAGAGTGAAGTCAGGTAGCGAAATATGTGAGCAAAAATGTCATGAGGGAAAAAGTCAAATATGCGAGAGAGATCAAAATGATGTTGAAGATTAAAAATAACATAAAGATCAAAGGTCAACTATGAAAATTTCTCTTCATATTCGATATTTCTCTATATTCTACAAGAATATTGCATTTATCTGCGTCTTTCATCTCGTTTTTTTTTTTTTTTTTTTTTTTTTAGATATGTTCTTGTCTTCTTCACTCTGTCGAATCAATTGAAACAAAAGTTTCACCGCGAGCTGTGTTCCTGTGGTAAGCGAAACAAGCGAAATTAATATTTTTCTCTTAAAATAAATATTAATAATTTTTTTCGTAAAATTAATATCATACGAAGCATGGCCGATAATTTCGTTCCCATTTCTCATTCACGACAGCTCTCACATTCCGTCTAATCTCCGCCGATAGATTAACACAAGTCTGAAGTCCATAGCCCCAAATCGATTCGGTTGGGCAACAAAGTCTGTGACAAAAAACAGGTGGACCCAGATCTCTCCTCATTCTCTGCCGGACAGCTATGGGAAAATTAATCGGTTGTGTGTGTTACCAAACTACCTGATCCCTAAAATAAAACTGGCAATTGACATTAATTCAATAGTTGGAGATAAACGATTTGAATTGATAAAGCAAGAGGAACTCGTAGAGATTTCTAGAAACTTTGAATTGTAAATTATTGGGATTGTGTAAAGAAATATGTTGGACTAATCTACAAAATATTGGACATTTCAAATGTCTGATTTAATCAAATTAAACATTTTTCATGGGGATGAAAGGAACGGTGGAAAGAGTGCTAGTGGAACATAGTCAGTATGTAAAAATTTTTCAAACAAATTGTCAATTATCTACTATTTTTTCTTTAAATTTTATAAAAGTATACATTTTTATAAGACTAACCATTTTGTTAAATATGCATTATTATGTACAAATTATTTTACTAGTAATTAATTCTTCCACACAATATTTACAAGCTTAACATTTAATTGAGGGCAATATCTTTTTTAAATTATTATTTTATCACTTGGCAAACATTTATGACAAATAATTCTGTCCTAAGCTTCTATTATGACAAAAATATATACATAATATGACATAATGTCAATGATCAGAAGCCCAACATTACATAATTCATGTCATTATAAGCAGTTGTAAATAGTTTAGAACTATATATTCACATCAAATACTTATATATCGTGCTGTCAAGAAGATGGAATGATTAATGGAAATTATAACGCTGGAAAGTAACGATTGATGATCATCGTTTATATCATTCTTGTAATATTTAATGCACTGAGCACTTTCTCAGACTGTCTACACATGTACGAATCGAAGATCTAACGAGTGTAGCAACGTTATTGCATAAAATGCTTCAACTGTCGTATCAGTGAGAGCAAACAAATTTACGACTCTTCAATGTTCTTTCCTGTGCATGCTTGAATACCAGCATTCAGGGAGACTGGTTCTCGGATGAGTCAACTACACAACATTTTGTAAAATATTTTATTTGCGCATGTATGTAGAATCTTTGTATGTTCGTGTCTCTTCCTTAATTTACATTCGTAAAGCAAAACACTAATGAAAACGAATTTAAAAGCTTCTTCTAAGAGCATGTATAACGCATGCGTGATAAATTCTATTCTCTTATTTTTGTAAAATGAAAATTCTGGAAAACGAGAGAGGAAACATTGTGCAT